ACAAATTTGATTGCTAAACTTTATCCCTAAAAGTATAAGCTGGATCCAACTGAAAATACTTTAGAGATGTTAAATTCAACAAAGTAATAAATAATTTATCAATATTCTCAAGCCCTAAGTCCCACTTGTGTACGCGTCGAAGCTGAAACATTCTGCAAGCATTGGCAATCTAATCTCACATATTTTACCCACCGGAAATATATCTAAAAATGTATCTTCAAATAATTTAATATTCTAAAATCGTGCTAACCTTGCATCGTTGCATTAGCTTTGACACAACACACAAAAAAGTGCAAATGAGAGACGGAAAAGTATCTGTGTATAGGCACCGTATTAGGGCGATGGTTCTATTGCGAGGGAATAAGAAAAAGGAAGGAAGTACACAGAAATTCTATTTATAAAAATCTTAAATTTATGAATGAAAACACAGAAGAAGCAGCAAATTCAAACGACAGTAAAACTGAAAGATATGCTTTGGAGAATTGTATCATCCAACACACAGATCGTGCATAATTTTTCTGTTATTTGGTTTTCTTTGGGTGCGCCGCCACATTAAACATACCAAACATAGAAATATGTATCTATGCTAAAACTTGAAAATATGTACTTTTAATATTTATAGATTGGAGAGTCATGTTAAAAATAATAATAATAAGGAAATATAGCTTATTATATTAATATCGAAGAACAAAGAATAATTCAAATATAAATCCTTACTATTAAAAAATATATTTTGAATGATCAAAAAATATATATTTATACTTTGATTAAAACAATTAAAAAATAGACTAGAAAATATTGAATCTTCTGCTATATATGCTACCATATGTGACCGATGAATCGATGGATAAAATAGGAAAATCCCACACAATAATCAAAAATATACTATGTTGACCTAAATCACTTAGACGAAGAAGACAATGAAACATTTTACGACAATATTTATGAATTTTATGACATTTATGGATGAGCATTCGGCATTTGGGTGTTGTCGTCTATATAAAATATGAACTGGCTGATCAATTTATCTGGAAGATGTGTTGTTCTCGACACCCTCACGACGCCCACAATAACGTCATAGAAAATCGAAATATATATATGATATTTATGATACGTTTTGGAAATATATTGATACAAGTAGAGAGATAGAGAGGCATGGCTAATATATATGTGTATATTCTACAGGGTCGGAACGAAATCTTACCACTGTAGAATTCTTTAAAATTACATTCTTTAATAAAAAAAAAAAATGGTATACGCTTGAAAATAGTTTGAAAGTTGTTTCCCAGTTCAGATTATTTCTGAAAGCAATACTTCTACAATGTTTACTCTTTTCCTTTCCTTCTTTTATCTATGAAATTACTTCGGAATATAGTTTGGAAGAATTTAACATGTATAGTATCGATTCATTTATATTCGGTCGATCGTCGATTTGGGTTTTAATCTTAAGTCCTTTCTTATGAATAAATTTATATTTTAATTACAAATAACTGTTTGGCATTCTACTAGAAAAGTTAGAGAACATGTATATTTATATTTTGTATTTATTTATATTATATTTATTTAAACAACATATACATGTATTTACTTAAATTTGTATTCAAATAATAATTGGCAATTTCATTACATTGAGCTAAACAACAACGAAATTACAATTTATTTTTATTAATTTTCCGATCGTTCCTATGACAGCTATAAGATATGGTCGTCCGATTTTCAAAAATTTTAAACGAAATTCTAGAATGGGACAAAATGGATGTGTCTCAAAGTAATTGAAAATAAGTTAAAAACTAGCCAATCTATAATTTTTTGTACAAAATTTTCGATCGTTCTTATGGCAGCTATATGATATAAACACCCTATCCGGCCCATCAGACTATCTGATAAGTTTCCTACAGATAACTTGAAAACTAAGGGACGACCGGACATATGGCAGACGGGTAAGATTATAATATATCTACAAAGTCAGGGATTTTTAACGGGGCTAGTGTTAGTCCCTACGTTTTATAATTATTGATTTGGTTGATTAACGTATAAATAAATATGAACTTATATAATAAAGAAATGTACAAGTATATATTCGTAATACCTCAATCGTAAACTGCAAGGGTATACAAACTTCGGTGTACCGAAGTTAATTATAAGTAAGTACTAATAAAAAACAATTCTTAAAAGAAAGCTAACTTCGGTACGCCAAAGTTTGAATACCCTCGCAGTTTGCAATTGGAACATTAAGAATCGTTCCATTCTGGTCAAATTAATGAAACAAAATAAAAGGAAATATATAAAAGTTGTATATTAAACAGATTATAAATTAAATTTGATTTTGATAAAATTAAAAAAAAAATGTAATCGTACAAAACAATATATTTTAGATTTAAATAACTTATATAATAAACACTATAAATATAAATGCTGAAAACACACACAAAATAAAAGTTTCATTACATTTTACCCGTATATATATTTACAGTTTGACAGTTACAGTTTTACACTCGCAGCTTTACATTTTTCTGCATATTTACTTATTGTTTCTATGGTGGCTATATGATATAGTCGTACGATTTTCAAAAAATTAAAACCGAAATTTTGAAACAATAAAAAATGGTCATATCTCAAAAATTATTAAAATATGTTGAAAAACAGCTCAGTTATAATTTTATTTTTTAATTGGTCGATCATATGTATGGCAGCTATATGGTATAGTCGTCCGATCCGGCATATATAGCTGTGAGAGTATTCAGAAGACTATATGCAAAGTTTCATTCAGATAGCTTTAAAGCTGAGGGACTAGTTTGCGTAGAAACGGACAGACGGACTTGGCTAGTTCGACTCGGCTGTTTATGCTGACCAAGAATATATATTATATACTTTAAAGGGTCGGAAAGGTCTCCTTCACTTCGTTGCAAACTACCGACTAAAATTATAATACCCTATAAGGGTATAAAAATATTGCAATTACGTGGATTTTTTTTTTTGTGGGAATAGAAACAAGATTAAATAACACTAACAGCGTCCTCACAGCGGCTGAATTTGTTGGAATTAAAATGTTAACACGACCCAACTGTCCTTGTTACCGGACACTCGGCACCTCGTTAAAGCTAATTGCATACAACAAGCACACGCACTTCACCACAGATTTGTTGTTTGCCATTTTCAGGAGTCATTAGCTAAGCAAAGTGGACTTTGACATACCAGCAACAGCATTGGCTATCAAATCCTGTTAAAGAGGCTCCTTACCTGCCAGGAGAGGTAGTCATTTAGGACGTGTACCTCAGCCTGCCTTGGGATTATACATATAAGCTTCATAATCTTAATTCCTATTAAATTTGAAAACCGGAAGTGTAGACAGTATTTCAACCTCATGACAATCCTGTTGAAGGCCTATTTATTTTTATTATTTTCAAAAGTGTAGTATTCACTCCAAATGAATATATGAATATAGGAACAGTCAATTAGCATGATACTATACTTTTCTATATGTGTGAAAAATATGCATTTAATGACAAAACCTTTGAACTTTTCTAAGCACGATAAAGAGATAATATCTGCATCTCCATTGTGGCGGAGAGCTGTGATTGCCTTTTTTTATTAGTGGAAACTACCCTAGAAGCGAAAAATGCAGATTTCATTTGAATCTCTGACATCATCGTCAATCATCCACCTTTCTTATGTTAGCCAGAGTATTTTGGTAGATAAACATCACATTAGCGTGTTTCCAAGCCGATTATTTGCGTTAAGCTGGGAGTTCCTGAATCTGAAAGTTCCAAATTTATCATATCCAGCTTCAGTCTTTACTGGGGATATGCTGGCTCACGTTTTCCCAATAACAAGAATATGTCAGTCAGCTTTGGTGGTAGGAGCGATACAAATTGAAACCCACAGGAAAACAGATCTAACCCTTTTAATTAGGTCATACTCATACCCTAAACGTGTTTGGAAAAATGGATGGACTCAAAACTTCAATGACCGGAGTCTGATGCTGAGATCCGAAATGTCATTATTATTATTATAGCGAAATAAACTCACATTACAATGCTCTGCTACTACCAACGAGAAGTGTACGAGTACTCCCGTGTCGAGTGAGGCCATCGACGATTTATAGTACGGCCAAAACAATTCGATCCATAATATCAACAGTAAGAACATAAGCTTATTAAAAAAAACTTTTATTTTTAACCTATATCCTACAAAGAATAACAAACAATGCCGGGTAAAAGAGTAAATGTCTATATAATTGTCTTAAGCCTAATATATTTAAATAAAAAATAACTATTACTTATAGGGACTACAGCGATGCATAAGGGTGTACATTTGTCTAAGGGAAAACTTAATGCGAAGTGAAAATGTACGAGCCTCTTGTGGAAAAAAGGAAAAGAAAAGCCCATTGTTAGTTCCTTTGAATGGCGGGAAGACTACAAAGACGGCGATTCAACCTGCCATTCAAATGCTTATAATGAAAGAATGAAAAACTGAAAGCTGGCACTGGCTACACAAAAGAAAGAATGAATAATAATATAAAACTTGTTTCAGAGAATCCAAATATAATGCCAAAGTAAAGTAAACATTGTACGTATTATTATTAAAAGAAAAATGCTTTTAGGCTGCTCAAAATCCTTTGATAACTGCAGAATAGATTTTTAAACCTGTATTTTGAATACGTGACTAATGCCAATTCGTATGATATTTTGAAGGTAAAAAAACTAAAAAGGATATCCTATGGCTGGCATGAAATGCTATATAATTGAAAATGAATTAGATGTTAGCTTAGTCGACTTTATTATTGTATACCACGAATGGGCACAGAATATAACGGAAAGAGCAGTCGGACCAAAAAAAAGTAACCGCTATTTTCGTCATGCGCGGGAGAACGATCTTCATGTACGCCCCAAAATTCGTGGGTATTGTTGTTGAAAACTCTTGTAAATCTTCACTACCGTCTGGGACGAATTGCTGGCGCCTATACTGATAAAGAAGCCACCCGCTGTTAGGAAACTCACCTGACCAAGTAATCGACTTCGTATTAACTGAAAATTCTTAATCATCTCCAAATCGAAATATTCCTTGGCATGTGTTTGATTTTCTTCAGAAGAGGGCAGCCTACATTCTCTGTAAATTTAGATCAATAACATAATTAATTAATATAAAATAGGTACATATATATTGCCCAATTGCTAAATAGGGCAGTTAATGAATTAATACTTGATAATAGTGCATATTTATTATTTTATGTACCTTTCTATACAGAAAACATTTTCGTAGGTTGAATATTCTATTTTTGTGGGTTGAATTACAGTAAAGTAAGTCAATGTATTTTGTTGTTGGATTTTTGACTGTACGAAACTGTACAAAACTGTTGTTACAGCCAAATACAGTAACCCTGCAGTCAAGAAACTGTTCGTTAAAGGTATTTAACGGAACTGTATACTGTAATCGTGGGCCAACCTGCAGTTTTTTACAGTGAAACTGTACTTTTTACGACAGAATCGTGGTTGGATTTACTGTAGAGCAGTCATAAGACGTAACGCGTTACGTCGTTACTGTAGTTTACAGTAAAATCAACCCATGTTTTTGGGTTGGGGCACTTTAACTGTGAAATTGGTTGTAGCTACTGCAGGAATTTCTTCTGGGTACATATTAAGAGTTCTGTTTTAGCTGGCTCGAGGTTAACAAGGGATTCTGGTAAACAAACACTCAAACTAAATCATGGATTTTAAAAATCCAGCATCTAAAAAAACAAACAAAAAAGCTAAGAAGCACACATCTTGCTCCAAATTTCTCTCGCAAAAACTTTAAAATAAAACGTATAGAAATATAAAAATACTTTTGCTATTTGTCCAGAATAAAATACGCTATAGGAGCGCACAACTGTGCACAGAATAAATAAATACTTTGCCGTAGGACCTTCCGGAAATTTGGCAATCGCTTTCGGAAATCTGGAATGCAGACACTTTTAATGGACATAGATTATTGGTTGGTAAAGGGGGATCCAACGCAAATTGTCACTGTTTACAAGATAGTTTAGCATTTACAAATGTATTGGGGCATTTAAATTTAATGGATTTCAGCCTTCAAGCCAATCAAGCCTAGAGACACCAATAAATGATATATGTGTAACCTTTTTGGTAAAATCTGTTAAATTTAAAATTAACTTTTATATAGTTCTCCAATTGTGATAAAGCTAAAAATATTATTTCACGATCGAATACGTTAACAAATAGCAATGATAATTCAAAAACTCCGAGAGTTGTTAACGGATAGGCGGACTGTTTAAGCTGGTCATGAATTAAAACTAAGATTAAATTAAGTAGCCCACTGCAAGGGTAAGTAAGCTTCCATTCTTATTATAGGTACATTTCCTACTATAGTGAGGCTGTGCACTTGGCGAAAATAATGAACGGTTTTATTTGGAGCATACATACCTTTGAAGATAGCTTGATTGTTGGACGGTGGTGTATTCCGGGACATTTGTGGAGCTCCCATAGATTGATAATGGACCTGCGTCCAGATTAATAGGTATTGTATCGAAGCTTCCAATGGAGTCTACCGCACTATTATGAATATTGGGTTTAGGGAATAGCTGCTGGTGTTCTGAAACAACTTCAATATTGCAACACTTAAGGTCAGTCTCAAGTTTAATCCATTTCGTATCTGTCTTTGGATCCGTATCCCAAGCTTCATCAGTATTTTCAGTTACTTTTAATTGGTTTTCCTCATTTCCTATAGCTGGACTTGATTTCTTCCTTCGATTATTTCCAATATTTTCTATGCTCCTGTTATTGCCCATGGTAATATCATTAGTACTCATATCCAAATGACTTGAGCTTGAGCTGGAGACCCTCGAAGAGCTTCTGGAGTCCATGTCCAAGTCCATATCCACGTATGTTTTATCGAAATGATTTCCCGAAACCATGATCACACAGTCCCTTATACCATCCACCTCATTATTATTAACAATTGGGCTAACATTGGAGGCATTTATTTTACTTTTCGGAAACAGATGATGTCTTTTACGAACGAAGGCTGTCGTGTGGCCTGCCTTTCTTCTTTTGGTTTTATTGTGGTCGATGTCAACTTTATTTGGAAGCGATTTACGTTTCGTTGACATTTTTCGAAATGTGGGGACTTCATCTACCTGTAAAAATATATTTTACACAAGTTTGTTCAATTAAACTTTAATGACTGTTCAGCAAAAGTAGAGTAATCTTCAAAGATAGTTTCAAGGTTCCATCTTTACCTTTAAATATATATTTAAGTTTTAAAGGCCAAAGTTTGTATACCTTTGCGGATTAGATTTGAACGAAGTTATCAATTCCGGTTAGATGAAAAATGTTCGTCAGTCAGTTATGGTAGGCACGCGGTGTAAAAGGGTGGAGTCAATAAATATTTATTTTTTAGGTTTTCAAATAACCATATAAAGCCCAGCCAGTCCGTCCCCATATTGCGATTTGTATAGAGGTCCGTGTCCTTACACCCTTCAATTGTATTGATTACATACATTGGACAATGTATACAAGCCATTGGTAGGCAGTAACCTTAATGTGGCTGCTCAAAGAGCACGTGCTGCTGGCATTAAAAATGAATTTGGGGTCGACTCTCAAACCAATTGTATACCGCTGGAATTTAAAAAAAATCCTTCGAGTGACGTGCACCATGAACTACTTGCCACTTTGCAAAATGAAACAGAATACCTAAATGGATAAATACGGAATGTATATCCGAATACCTAGGGTCTTAGTTATTAGCTAACTAACACAATTTCTTGGGACCAACTCGGAAAATGGTCACGTTTTTTAAGGAAATATGATTATAAAACACTAATGCAACAATGTTAAAATATTGAATATTACATTTATGGTTTATGCACATCAAGATAATTTATCTCGCCCTGAGTCAATAGATTACTGCAGAATGATTCAGCCCATAAAGCCTGGAGTCCCATGTCGTCACCCAGTTCGATTCGGATTTTCGCAGCTAGAGCCACGTTGCCCCCCGGAATAAGTCGAAATTTGTACTGTGGTGCTTTATTGTACGCTCATACCAGAGTATTAAATTTTAAGCAAAAGTTTGCAACGCTGTGATTCTTGATCAGCAGTAACAGCCGAGTCGATCTAACCATGTCCGTCTCCATTAATGCCCTGAGCGAAATTTTGCAGACAGTCCTCTGACCAGTATATAAGTCGGAACGAGATGGAACAAATATAGCTGCCATGAGAAGGATAGGGAAATTTAAAAATAAAAAAATATATCATATAATTAAAATACCCTGCAAGGGTATAACATGTTATACAGCAAAGTTCTTTCTACCATTTACATGTTTTCAATTTTTAAATTCAAACAACTGCCGCTAAATGCTTTATTAGCTATACATTTAATATTTCATAAATAAATGAAATAATGAGAAATAAAATATATAATTGCAAAGTCCGTGGTCCTACTAACACAAATGGATTATTGTTTTAACAATGTGTATAGAAATGTATTGCTTCCACCCCCTATTCCGCCTGCATGCGATAACTAATATAGTTGTTATTTATTATTATTATTTATTGTTTTCCCATGACGCATTGCCATGTATCTTTGAAAATTGTTATTTAATAGTGTGTGGTGTAATGTTTTAAAATCTTATTGTATGAGTGGTATGTGTCTATAAATATTGATATTTACATGTGAAGGGAAAATGTGAGCACAAGGCCTGAAAAGAGAGAGCTGAGCACGCTATCCATTGAAGCGAAATTTGCGGAAGCTATTTGTAAGTGTTCCGAGTCAATATTTGTATATTTTCTGCGACTCTGTGCAACTACAAGGGGTTGAACGAAGACTATGTGCCCGCAACGGATAGAGCGGCGGAAGTCATCATTATAAATAAAATGTTTCATTTGAAAGCAAATCGGGGAAACAATCATTTATTCTTGAGAGGCGGCAAGGAGACAGTGTTTAGATCTACATATATGTATGTAGTATATATGTAGTTTTTGGTTGTTGTTCATCTCTTTTAATACATTTAATTCATATATGCAAATTATGTATTTTTACAATACATTTTTACTAAATCGATAAATCCTTGACTAATTAAGCTTAACTTAAAGCATTTTTATACCCTTGCAGGGTATTATAATTTCAGTCAGAAGTTTGCAACGCAGTGAAGGCATCAACAGCCGAGTCGATCTAGCCATGTCCGTCTGCCCGTTTCTACGCAAACTAGTCCCTCAGTTTTAAAGCTATCTGAATGAAACTTTGCATATAGTCTTCTATATACTCTTACTGCTATATATGTCGGAACCGGACGGCTATATCATATAGCTGCCATACAAATGTTCGATAAATTTTAAGAAAAAAAAAATATAACTTGGCTGTTTTTTAACACCTTTTAATAGTTTTTGAGATATGGCCATTTTGTAGTATGTCAGAATTTCGTTGTTAATTTAATTAAAATCGGACGACTATATCTTATAGCTGCCATAGGAACGATCGGGATATTAATAGAAAGAAATTATAACTTCGTTGTTGTTCAACGTATTTTCATATACTTTTGAGCTTTTGTTATTATTTCAGCATTTTGGTATAAATTTTATGAAAATCGGACAACTATATCATATAGCTGCCATAGAAGCGATCGGTAGATGTAGAGAAAACGTAAAGCTGGGAATGTGAACTGTAACTGTCAAACTGTAAACATAATAGGTATAGGTAAAATGTTATGAAACTCTGTTTTGTGTGCGTTTACAACTTTTATATATTGTCTTTTATATTTTTTCTAATTATTTAACCAGAATGGCTTCATTTTTAATGATCTAATTGCAATCTAAGGGTATACAAACTTCGGCGTGCCTAAGTTAGCTTCTTTTCTTGTTTTATTTAATTATTTGTTTATTATCCTAGCGCAAGTTTACACTTATAATTGTAGCACTTGTCACATAGAGTTTCAAATATATATATTATTTTAGCATTCGTAATTGCAGACTTGAGGTCATAGCCGGCTTCGATTTTATAAAAATCGAAGGTTCGACTTTAGCTAAAAACAACAAAAAGAACTTGTCAATAGACAAGTAGCAGCTGTGGTGACGATCGTTTCGTTGGCGCTACCCAACTCATCAGACCACTTGCTAACTATTGCTAATTTTCTTGGTACTTTACCTTCAATCTAGGCTTAAACTCGTTGGGAATCATAAGCTTCGATATAAAGGCAAAAACAAACCCCGAAAATCGGCAATAGTTCTTTTTGTTGTTTTTAACCAGTTGTTTGGCATTCAAGTCTATCAGACTTGTCATAAGCCAAGCTTAAAAGCTTCTACGTATGCTGGCGTGGGCTTTTTAAGGCAAGTCTGCAATTACGAATGCTAACAAAAAACTGGTCGATGCTACAAAACTATAACTATTACTTATTACTACACTTTCTTCTAATTTTGGCTTGTTATACTATACTTTTCATTTTACTTTAAATATTCTTTAATTTGAGATTTAAACTGAGTTGCGAGCATAAATGTCTTATATCTTGTGGCAGATTGTTTCACAGACGAATAGCGCTAATGAAGAATTGCCTATTCGAATTAAATCTTGGGCATATATAATTATTTGTTCTATTTGAGATAGCTGATATGAGTTTGTCAAACAAATATGTTGATTCTTGGGATATCACAATTTTATGGAAATATAAAAGTATTCGGACTTATAACGAAGAAAATATTACCTAAGTCTATTTAGGCTTCTAACAATTTTAAAGCATCATCGGAACATTAGTATATCTTTTAGTGCATACCGAAAATGTGTGAAATAGCCAGAAAAACGCATTCCAAAACGCATTCGATACATATTCTTAATCTTTTTAACCCAGACGAGGTCATGTCTAACCCTTTATCAGTCTTTTCGTGTTGGCCACTCCATTCTAGTAGTAGCCTGTAAAAATACTGTTAAAAGACTAAATAGGTATTCCTTCCGTCTGCAAACAGTTTTTTTTTTACACAAATGGGTCGGCAATTTTCCTTAGATTACGAAGCTACATCCAAACATAAATTAATGTTTAAATACAAGCATATATATTTATATTTATATTAAAATATTATGAAATGCTTTCCAGCGCTTTAACAAAGTGTATGGCTTGGGTTTTGATGAGATATTTATTTCGGAAATTTTAAATTTGGCAGATCCATTCGGTTTTAGGTCTAGGGATTGTGAATGGATCAATGGGGTTTTGGTTCTCTTAGAAATCTCTGTTCAAAGAGAGGGCTAGGGCCTGCCTTTGTGTCTCTATGACTCGGTTTTGTTGTTGCTGAATGCGCTTTGATTATAAAAGTATATTGTTTGTTTTGTGTTTGTGTTGATGGTGCACTTGTTTGGTCAAAAAGCCGCAAACAAAAGGCGACTCCACCGCAGGAGCTTACAAAAGGACTACAGCTTCTGCTCCGTTTACCAGTCCCGTACAGACGTCCGACAGGTTTATGTATTATTTATACTTTCTGCTCTTGTCCAGGAAAATAGAAATACATTATTGTCCTTTTAAATGCATATGTACATACAGTTGCGGCCAATATTATAGAGCAAACAAAAATAAACAGGTACGTGTATTCGTGATCAGCATCATCACCGAGTCGATTTAGCCATGTCGAGCAAAGTAATAGATCTCGGAGGCTTTTAGGGCTTGAGCTACCAAATTTGGTGACAATATTTATTTCTGTTGCACTGAGAAAAAGTTCCATTTTCGCTATTACAAATAATGTGAAATCGTAACTAAGTTATATTAATAATATATTAATAATGAATAATGAGACCTGGGCTGGGGTCCTCTGAAAATTTGAGTAAAATCGGAAAATAGGCATGGGAGTTATTAGTCAATATTGTTAGTTTGTATTTTTAACATATCTGTTGGTCGTTCCAACGAACGTTTGGCGTTGCTTACCACGTCACTAGCCCCATTTAAGTTTTTTGTTAATTTGTTTAATTATAGTTTTTCCTAATTAACAACTAATTGTAGCTTTCCTTCTCATCTTAGCTTAGAATTTTCCATCATAATATTTCAAAGAAAATATCGACTTATCGCGTAAATATTCTATATATTTTCAGAACAAAATGTCAAGCTTTCAGAAGGTCAAAGGCCATCAAACCTTATATGGTGATTATTACACTTGTCGCTCCGCA